ATTGAACTTGAAAAGATTCACACTGACAAAAATGCTGCTGACATGATGACAAAAGTGGTGCCTCGAGAGAAGCTTGAACTGTGCCGGAGCAGCCGGCCTTAAATTTGCATAGTTGCCTTTTTTTGAAGTGTCTCTCTTCTCTCATGGGCTAGAGGGGGAGAATTGTTGGGCCCAACCCATTATGGGATATTGCCCATATTATAGCCCACTCTCCTTTAGCCAACTGTTTTTTTTTTTTTTGTTTTTCAAAAAAGAAAAACAAAAACTAGGGTTAGATCTTTTTTTGCGCGCGGCGTATTGAAGAGAGAGAGGAAAAGAGAAAAATCGAAATACTGTGCAGATTTCTCAGTGCGCAGAGTTCATCAAATGGCCGAAACTTTCCGATCCACCGTCCGATCGAGCAGAAATTTGGACAGTAAGTGGATGACTCATTTTTCGTTATTCTGAACGATCGGATCTTTGATCGGAGCTCTGAATCGCTGGTTATTTGAGGTCTAACAGAAGCAACTCGTAGTTGTTCGGGAAAAGAAAACATCTCATGGCAGTCTTCATCAATTACTCTGATCAAGGGTCATTTGTGGTTCGATTTGGCTGAAATTTGGTGAGATTGTTCGAAACTCACAGACCTACGATCTGAACGGTGGAGATCTGATTTGGAGTAGTGAAGGTCTCCATGTTGTGGCCTGAACAGTAGCCGCGTTTGTGAGTTTTTCTGACTGTTATTTTCACCGTTTTTAATATTCTCGTTTGTATGTTTGAGAATCTGTATTTGCTCTAAGTTTGTGAGCATATTGTGGTATTTGAGTTGCTGTAATTGTTACCTCAAGTTATTAGTGGAGATTTTTGGTTGGGTCTCCTTGGCCCCGTGGTTTTTTACCCTTCACATTGGAGGGGTTTTCCATGTTAAATATCGTGTGTGTCTCTCTTTGCTTGGCTTATGATTGTTTTTGTTGATATCTTGCTTGGAATTGTGATAGTTGAATATCTACAAGTTTTTATTTTTGGGAGAGAAATAGTTTGTGGATAAACTTAGTTTCTTCCCAACACTGCGACGTGGTCTCAACTAAGATTGGTTCCCTCAAGCATCTCTTTCGGCTTGACCTCTCCGACAACAATCTGCAAAGGCCCCATCCCGAATTTTCCATTGATAGCACAAAATATACCCATCGCCTTTCCTTCTTAGAATAGGGTAATTTTTCCATTTTTAAAAGTTACAGAAGATTAAGGCGAATGCCCTTATGTCCTCGTGGACGGGATGAAGACGAATGAACATGGTGGCGATTCCTAGTTTAAAAAGTTTCCGTTAAGATATCTCATTTCGCTGGCAAGATGAGAATGCCTTTATTTGACCGTGTTCATCTTAAATTTTTCGTTAAACCCTTATTTTCTACCGAAGAATGCCGTTAAGATGATTGGGCTTAATGGGGTTTCTCATTTCCATTAAAAATAAGGGCATTCGCCGGCCAAATACAGAGGAGGAAGACGAATGCCCTTATTTGATATTTTTCAAAAAAATATATTTCATATCGGTTATTATACAAAATATATTATTTTTTTATATTAAAGGCAAAAAGTTGCCCTTAACGGCCTATTACAGGTGAAGCTAATTTTACCGTTTGAGAGATTGAGATTTTTCCTTTATACAAGACTCCATTGCCCCATGGAATGCTTGCGTCAATATTCTTTATACAAGGACCTGAGTTAGGTGACGAGTCATGGAAGGGGCAAATAGCTTTGGCTGACTTGGAACAGCCAAAGTTTTTCCGTGCCCCACATCTGACATTTTAACCTCTTTTTAGGGTGTGTTTGGCATCACTTTTTGTTTCTACTTGAATCGTTTTGGATTGATCAATATAAATCGGTGAGAAATAGGTATTATTTTTAGGAACAGCATCTGACAGGTGCATTTTTAAGGTATGCTTATTGCAATCATAAATAGCCTTTAATAACAATTATGTGGCAATTTGTATTGATCAGCCCAAAACGTTTGAAATAGAAATAAGCAGTTGGCACAACTGCCAATCAACCTTACAACCCCTCCTTTATATTCCCTGGAAAATAACCAGAAAAGGGAATTAATAAAATCATCAAATTCCATAATCTGCCCAACGACCCAACAAACAAGAGATAACGGCCCCCAACAAATACAACGTTTGCTGTCAAAAGTCAATTTCTCCTTTCCTTCTCTCCACCCTCTCTCTTCTCTTTTTCCAATTTCTTCACTTGTCTCTTAGTTTATGTCACCTTGCTTCTCATGCGCACTTAGAGAATTAAGAGTTTGACAAACCTGTAATAAGATACCGATACCATCCTTTTCTTTTCGGACCCGTACAATCACATGAATTAACTCCCTCTTAGAATTGGAGTTCTGGAGTTCTGAAGTCTGACCTGCAACCAGAACTAGTCAGAAATCCTTCAGTTCAAAGACCCAGTTCAGGCTTAATCCTGTTTGGGAGTCTATATACAATGAGAGTTTCTCTGCCAGGTATCTTCATTTTGCTTCATGGTTTCCCTGTATAATCACATGAATTAACTCCCTCTTAGTATTGGAGTTCTGGAGTTCTGAAGTCTGACCTGCAACCAGAACCAGTCAGAAATCATTCAGTTCAGAAGACCCAGTTCAGGCTTAATCCTGTTTGGGAGTCTACATACCATGAGGTTTTCTCTGCTAGGTATCTTCATTTGCTTCATGGTTTCCATGACCCAATTAGTAAGTATTCATACTTCTCAAGTGGGCAAGTACTACCCATATGAAAGAGATGCTCTCATTCCACTGAGGGATTCCCTCAATTCTACATTGAATCTACACTCAAATTGGACAGGCCCTCCTTGCTATGGTGATAAAAGCAAGTGGGTTGGTATTGCCTGTTCTGATTGGCATGTAGTTGAGATCGTCCTGGAGGGAATTCAGTTAACTGGTTCTCTTCCACCTTCATTTCCACAAAGTATTACTCTGTTAAGGAAGCTTAACTTGGCAAACAATTCACTTGTTGGTCCTCTTCCCAATCTCACAAACCTTGTGAACCTGCAATTCATCTTCCTCTCGCATAACCGATTATCAGGTTCAATCCCACTCGGCCTTGTTAAGTTGCCAGCTTTAGCAGGGCTAGAGCTGCAAGAGAATCGTCTCACAGGCCATATCCCACCTTTTGATCAGCCATCTCTAAGGAATTTCAATGTCTCAGGCAACCTTCTTGAAGGCTCAGTTCCTGAAACTCCCACTCTTCAGAGGTTCTCCAAGAGTTCTTATGATCATAACTTAGAATTGTGTGGGAAGCCTTTGGATGGACCATGCCCTGTTGTTCCTCCTGCTCCACCAGTTGAACCTTCAGCTCCTCCTAATCCAAGCCATCCGGTTCCGTCCAAGGGCAAAAACAAGACTCTGAAAGCATGGATTATTACTTTGGTTATAGTAGCAGCGGTGTCAGTTCCTTTGCTTGTCATGCTTGTTTTTTTGTGTTACCAGAGGAGGCATGGAAAGGGAACAAAAGGAGAGCACTCAGGTACATTTCTTGTTCCACGCTTTCTTATTAGTTAAAGCAGGGAACAACTCTTAAACCCAAGTTTCTCTTTTGAAATTGGTTGGATACTCTTTTGAAATTATTGTAGATTTCAATGCATGTTAGGACATAACCCAAGAACGGTGTATACCGATGTGATTGCACTTAGTTTTACCAGATAGGATTTGAAAGTTGGGGATATGGGTATGCAGCTCCTGATGGTAAAAGATGAGTGCTTTTGTCCTTTCATTACCAAAATTTTCAATGAAGTTTCTTTGTTGTGGTTTTCCAATAAAGCAGCAATGAATGGTTGTCCAGTTTGTCTTGAGATTCATGACTCTATATAGTACAAAACCATGGAATTTCTTTTTTTTTTTTTCTGCATGTTCTTTCTTTTTGTTGTTCAATGTTGCAGACATACAGCCTTTGGCTGATACAAAGTTGGTCTTCTATTTAGGAATTTCACAAAATTTGTTAAGAACTTTCCCTCAACTTTCTATTTTTCTTGTTTTCTATCAAACCAAACATAGCATAAAGGATAAATTTTCGCTAGTCCTCCATATTCTGACGTTAGTTGTTGATCTACACTCGTGACATCCCAATGAAAAGGAAAGAAGAGTAGGAATTTGTCTAGAAGGATTCTTGCTGTTCCATGACATGTAGAATTCAGATTCAGATTTTATTTTCTTCTTGGTGACAGGAGAGGATTTTGTGGAAACAGTAGAAAAGAAAAAGCAGAGTGCAGGAAGCACAGAAGATACTGAGAGAGCATTGGATCTGGAGTTTTTTGACAAAGAAAGAGCAACATTTGACCTAGATGATCTGTTAAGGTCTTCTGCGGAATTGTTGGGCAAGGGAAACTTAGGAATCACTTACAAAGCAAGACTGGACACACGGTCCACAGTAACTGTGAAAAGACTAAAGGAGACGAATGTGTTAAGCAAGAAGGAATTTCTTCAAGGGATGCAGTTGCTAGGAAAAATGAGACATGACAACCTAGTAGAGCTCATCTCTCTGTACTACTCCAAGGATGAGAAGCTGGTTATCTATGAATACATCCCTCATGGGAGCTTGTATCATCTTTTACATGGTATAGTCTCTTCCGTTTTCCTTTCTCCAAGACAGTCACAAGAAGCCGTCTTTATTTTCTTTTCTTGGTAAAGAAGGTCCAAATCTCATTTTTATTTATATAGATTTTTCTGTATAATAATAACTAGAATGAGACTCATTCATGAGGTGAGAGGCTACTGTCTGACACAGTGACACACCACAACTGGTAAAACCAATGTCCATGAATCATTTGAGGTTTTCTCCCAAAACATTGGTTAAGAGTTAGGCTTGCATATATAAAGCAGTGCTTTAAAAACTGGCCTGGAAATGAAACCGGTTTTCCATGTGTGTTGAGACAGCAGTTCAACCATCTGGGTCAAATGGGTCAGCCTGGGATGTCATAATTAAACAATAAAATATAAAAAACAGACAACGAGTCTCTTACAAGAAGCTCAAATCTGCAGCTCAGCAGCTGTAATGGTGTCTAAGATGTAAAAAGACCATAGGCTCTGCAAAATTGTGAGTGTTCATCTGTTTTCTTGCTCAAAAGCTTAGTAAGTTGTAAGGAAATGGGTCTTAAGGGCAACCAGTATAATTCATTTGGAATGAATGGCAACTTCTTGGATCTACCAAGATGTGAACATAGGATCAGTAAAGGATCCAGGAGTAGATAGGCTATTTGGTTTTGAATAGTATTAATTTGTACATCTATTGTTGTTTTTATTGCTTAGCAAATTAATATGAAACAGAATGAATTTCCATTCACACATTAGTTTCAGTTCAATGATTTTCATATTTTTGGGTTCTAGACAACAGAGGAGAAAGAAGGGTAGTAGCTTTGAATTGGAGGAGAAGGCTTTCAATAGTGGAAGGAATAGCCAAGGGTCTGACTTACCTTCATGAATGCTTGCCTTCTCACAGTGTGCCCCATGCAAACCTTAAGTCCTCCAACATTCTCATCATTTACAACAACCAGAATTATCAACCTAAGCTAACAGACTTCGGCTTCCTTCCATTCCTCCCTCGGAGATACTCTGAAAAACTCTCCATCAGAATGTCACCAGAATTCTCACAGAACAAAAAACTGACCCACAAGATTGACGTATACTGCTTTGGCATTGTGTTACTGGAGATCATAACAGGACTAAGTCCAGGTGAGTTCTCAAAGGGAAATGATGATACAACAGGTGATCTTTCAGACCAGGTGCGGGCAGCAGTTAGCCATGAATGGTCCACAGATATACTGGACATGGAGCTGCTATCTGCAAAAGATGGTCATGATGAGATGCTGCATCTTATAGAGATAGCTCTTGAGTGTACAGCAATGGAACCAGAGGACCGACCGAATATGACTGAAGTGTTGAGAAGGATTGAAAAGATTCACAAAGGGAGAGATACATAAAGCAGAAGATGTGAAATCATATTAGTTCAACCTTTCTGGGAAGAACCTTGCTTGATTGCCTATGAAAGACAAAACAGTTGATTCAGTTTGTTTGCCTTGTATCTATGTAAAGAGCCAAGAATCATGGTTGACTTCACTACTTGGTTTTCTTTATGCTTCTGTGAAATTCTCTGCAAGGCCTGTTTTGTGCGCTGGCAGTGTAACAGTGAGATAAATTGAATGAGTATTTACATACCCACAGTGGTCTACAATTTTCCTTCATTTCAATTTTAGGCTACCCTCCTTCTCTGTTAAATAATCAAGATTTTACGTTCTTTGCACATCATTTATCTTGTTCTTGTTATTACTTGGTATCATTGTTGTTTGGGTTGAAAGTGGATAAGTATAATAAATTGAAATCAGGCTTATAAGGTGGTATGAACTCTCATACTTATCACATCCTCTACAAGTTTCTAGGGAATTGTTTGATATCAGCTCAAGTGGCTGATTAATGGTATGCAATGTTGATTACTTTAGCCCTAAGGCTGTTTTCAGTTTAATAGAAAAATAAGAGAGAAACAGAGGGTTAAGTGTCTTAGTATATAGCTATTTTGTCCACTAAAAGACAACACAATAATCCATTTAGTTCAGTCACATCAGCCATTATCAAAAGGTCCCTAATACTTGGTTTATATAAAACTAATTTTTATGAGTCATTAATGGAAAAAGTTGTAATAATTAATGAAGTACCTGCCAAGTAAGCTCTCTAGTTTTTCCCAATTTACCAAATGGGCTTAAAATCAGGCTTGACACAAGCCCACAAAGAAACTTTTAGCCATGACCTAGTTAGGGCTTCAAACCGCACACCCTGACACCAGATTTCCTGCCCACAACTCTTGTCCAATTAAATTAAATCCAAATTTGGCTGATTTATAATCGGATCGAATATGGATTTATCCAATCTGGTCCAGTATGTTCTAATCTGATCCAATAATATTTAAAGATTTACATTTTTCTATAGAAGTTCCCATTGGTAAAGGTTGGTTTGAATGTTGTGTGGTTCCAATGAAAAATTCTTTTCAAGTAGGGGTGATCAGGGCTCATGGGTCGGGTTTAGAACCTACGGTAAAAAAAATATTGTTTTCAAAGGAGGGGTGATCATGGTTCATGGGTCGGGTTTAGAACCTATGATAAAGGGCAATAGCCCAGGCTCGGCCCAAAATCAAGCCTCAAACCTAGAAATTTGCTGGATGGGCTGAAAGAAAGAGAATTAATGGTTGTGAGCCCATGCATTTTATGACTACTGGAGTAATGAACAGCCACTTCATCTGCATTCAACTGATCGGAATAAATAGATAACCCTCCTCGTGTCACCATTGACAAAGGTGGAGCTACATTGTTATGATGATGATTAATTGAACCCATTCAATCTTGGGGTGATTCATAATTTATGTTAGGTTTAAATGTTCTCAAAAATGGCCCCACCCAAATAAAAAATTGAATGAAAGAGAAGAAAACAAGAAAACAAGAAAAAAAATAATCAAGGCCCTGTTCGTATATCATATCTCGCAGGGGGTAATTTGCCCGAGTAAACATATTATCAAAATACCAAAAAACAGACGAGGACTAAGAAAAGTTAAAAAAAAAAAAAATTGATTAATAATTAATAAGCGTTTATATATTGATACTTTTTCTTTTCTTTTTAATTTTGATTACAGGCAACGACAAAAATTCCCGACTCTACATCACAAACAAATAAGACAAATTACAAATTCAAATATGAAGCAAAATTACATCGGAATGACAGGTGGCAAATATGTGTATTCCACGATGAGGCCAGTGAACCCTTCTAATTTTCATTCTCTATTTATGAGGTACGAGTATGCAAGAATTAAAATTAGATAAGAACGAATTCAAACGAAGTAATAATAGTTGGGAACTTGTACCACTTGAGCAGCCAACACATTTCCCTACGTGTCACCTCTGTTACGTTCCAATCCCCTACGCGTCAATAAAAACTCCAAAAACAACCCATTTTCGCATTCCACATCTCTTCTTCTCTTCTTCTCTTCTTCACCAACCTCTCCTCGTCTCCGGCCCCCACTCTACATTAATACAAGACACCCACCTTCCGCTCCATTACTTCTCTCCTCCAACCTTTCCATGCTGCAGCAGTAGTATCTCTAAGCAGAACAGAAATTAGTAGAGTCAAAAACGGCTGATCTGATACCAGGCAGAAGTAGTGATGCCAGGACAACGTAGATTTGCTGTTGGAGGGTCTGAAGAGGCTACTCACCCAGAATCCCTGCGAGCCACCTTGGCTGAGTTCGTCTCCACCACAATGTTCGTCTTTGCAGGAGAAGGCTCTGTCCTCGCTCTAGGTATGTATTTGTTTAGTACGTATTTGCAAACTGTGGATCGATGTGTGTGATGTATGGATGGATGAGTTCTTCTTGTGCAGGTAAGTTATACGGAAGCCCTGGAGTAAGCTCTGCGTCTGGGCTGGTGGCAGTGGCGGTGGCGCATGCGTTCGCCCTCTTCGTGGCCGTGTCGATTGCGAGCAACATATCGGGAGGTCATGTCAACCCGGCTGTCACTTTGGGTGCGCTCGTGGGCGGACGGATCACGCTGCTGCGCGCCTTGCTCTTCTGGGTGGCTCAGCTTCTAGGGGCGATTGTGGCAGCTCTGTTGCTAAGGTTCACGACGGATGACATGAGACCGGTTGGGTTTGCGGTGGGACACGGCATTGGGGAATGGCATGCGCTTGTTCTTGAGATTGTGATGACTTTTGGGCTGGTTTACACTGTATATGCAACGGCCATTGATCCCAAGAGAGGTAGTCTGGGCACCATCGCGCCGCTGGCCATTGGGCTCATTGTGGGTGCAAACATACTTGCCGGCGGACCCTTTGATGGTGCGTCCATGAATCCAGCCCGCGCCTTTGGCCCTGCGCTTGTTGGGTGGCGCTGGAAAAACCACTGGATCTATTGGATAGGACCCCTCGTCGGTGCAGCATTAGCAGGTCTCGTGTATGAGTTTGTCATGATCCCACAACCCAACCCTCACCAGCCTTTGCCGTCGGAAGATTACTAGTGAATGATGCATGCTGTTCACTTTTCAGTTATCTCCGTTTGTCTTCTGGAGTATGTATTTGGGTCTCTGGGATTGGTGACTAGTAATTTAATTGTAATAAAATGCCACCGTCCAGTTGTCTTATTTTACTGTTTCTCAGAAAGAGAGAGAGAGAGTTTCATGCATGTTAGAAGAGTGAAGAATTAATTTCTTTTAATTTATTAGAAGATTTTAATTAGCATATCAAATAAACCAGTTTCATGAATATCGTTCCCGTTTTTAAAAGAATGCAAGCTCTGTATTTTCGGGATGTCTTCTGTTGGTGGAATAGTAATCAGAACAAAAACAAGGTGAAAGTCTAGCCTCTAGCCATCACGACAGATATATGCAAAATGGCAGCCAGGCTTAGCTTCACCGCCATTCATTCTCCACTTTCCTCTCTCTTGGATAAGCCGAGGGTAGAGAACTTTTTTTTAGACAAATCCAAGAGTAGAGACCTGAGTGTGGATCAATGGAAAAATAACAATTAAAAGCAAGTTGTTACCCCTGTTCTGGCCTGCAAACACCTAAATGTTGGTGTTGGGAGAGGTGTAAAAATACATTTCAGTCATTGAAGATTAAACCCATGAGTTTGATTATACATAGTAGATCACATTTATACATATATGCATTTTGGAAAATAGTTTTAAATTTATTTTTTTTACTAAAATCTTTGTTCTGTTTTTTCTTTCTTATTTCTTTGTCAAAAGGCATTTGGTATCGCAGTAGTGTGCATGTGTGTGGTGCTTTAGGCAAATTTAAAAATTTCAGACATTTGTGTTCCCACGAGGAACCCCTTGTCGGGATTGGGTCTCAGGGAATATGATCAAAAACCATGACCCTTGATGCTTTAATTTAATAAGGTGTAATCAAGAGACATTAGTCTCTTCAAAATAAACACTCCTTTTCATGGTGATTTTGGCCGTTTTTCATATTAAGTGTTCGCTCAAATTCATGACAGTAATACTCTTATCTTTTATTGTCTCACAAAAATTAACTTTGTTAATTGCAATTTCTCGCGTTGTATTTTAGAAACAAATTTGCATGCAATCAACAAACTCAATCAATTAAATAGGGAGAGAGAGAGAGAGAGAGAGCAGAAGAAGCAACATTGAGGGAAATAAAAGAACCACAGCATCCCAACAGATAAATGGGTATGACCAAATGCATGGCAAGCAGAAGGGTTTCTCGTTTCTCCCGTGTATATTTAGACCTTATGCGGGCTTCCAAACAATCAGATCCTATGATCCTATGATCTTGAGGAGGTTAATTGGGGTATAGAATAGCATTCTCTTCTTGAACATAGCTTTTGCTTGTGCCAACAAAAAGACAAGTTAGTAGGGCTTGGAAGAATTCAGAATAGAATGCCAGCGCCAATGGTGGGAACGTGAAACATTTGGCAATAATAGATGATATAGTTAATATCTCCTAGCTAGTCGCTTCCTAATCATCTTCTCAGGCTTATTGGAGTGAACATACCAAAAGTTCTTAATTTCTTTACTTATAGCAGCCAGGCATCGAGAACATAATAAAAACTTTGTAATCAATAGGATTAATCAAAGGAAGGAAGAAAGAAGAAAATATAGAGAAAGAGAAGAAAGAAGAGGGAAGAATGTGGGTGAGGAAAAAAACTGTTGGATTTTAATCTCATAATAGATTAAATTTAATGGGTTTGATTGGTCAATTACATGAGAAATTGTACCTGTACACTTGATTGAAAAATTAGCTTTTCTCTTACAAAATCCAGTTTTGAACTTGTTATTATAAGCTTTGTTTTTAGTATTTTAATAGGAGCTGATTTACACTCATTAGAAATAGTAGAAGAGAATATAGGGGTTTGATACCACGTAATGCATGTGTGTGCATGTGTGCGGGGCACTTTGCTCACACCCGCGTGGCTCACGAAGGGTGGTTTTGGTTTTGGTGCGATGCTGACCGTTGATCACCGTTGATGAGATCAATAGTCACGATTCGGTCAGGTATGATCAAAAGGCACAATTCAAAGTTAACAGTCATTAACTATAACTGTTAACTACTTTTTAAACAGTCACAATGTTTGAAACTGTAACTGTTCAAAGTGCCTTCTCTGAACCAGCACCTACCTTTTCTTCATACCTCTTCATAAGCTATTTAAGGAGCATGAATCAAACTTCAAAAACACACATTTTCGAAATCCACTCTCTCTCTCTCTCTCTCTCTCTTTCTCAGTCCGGTCTACTACAGTCTTACAAAAGGTTTTTCCGGAGATTCTTCAACTTTGCTGGTTGCAAATTCTCGTCCAAGGCTCTGTTGTATCTTGGGAACGGATTTTCCTGTAACCCAACAGCAAACTCATTGAAACTGAGTGGGGGCAAATAACGTTCTAAAGACAATGTTTTCAGACGCACCTCAGAGCTTCTCCTCCAAAGTTACAGTGACCCCACTTTCCAACAAAAACTTGGTTTGAATGTTGTCTGATTCTAATAAAAATCATTTTCAAATAGGGTTGATCATGTTAATGACTCATGGATCAGGTTTAGAACCTAATGATAAAAAGCAATAGCCTAGGCCTGGCCCAAACCTAGAAATATGTTGGACGAGCTGAACAAAAGAGAATGGTGGGCTCTAGGGTTGCCACGAGTCAAGTTCTTCAGGAGCTATTTGAGCTCGAGTCGAGTCCAATTTACAAGCTTGATTAATAAACGAGTTGAGCTCGAGCTAATAGGACTCGACTCGTGAGGCTCGTGAGCCAAGTTCGAATATATATAATAAAATTATAAAAAATAATATATATAATAAAAATATTATAATTCTTACTTTTTTCAATATCAAATAAAACATATTTTTATATATAATTTTTATTTTTATAAAACATTTTTTCTCAAATCAAGCTTGAGCTTACGAGTTTTTGACTCAAACCGAGCTCTTGAACTGAGCTCAAGCCTCGTACTATTCAATTCGACTCGGCTTGAATCCACCCCTAGTGGGTTCCATGCATTTTATGACTAGAGCGAGATATTATCGTTGGTTCCACAATTTACTAAAAAGCCAACAAATAAATAACTCTCCTAGTATCACCGTTCTCTTTTAATTTAAAGAGGATATAGGTGGAGCTACACTGTTATGAGGATGATTAATTTAATCTATTCATCTTCTAAAATCCTTAAAGATGCATTTGCTAGTGATGTAAATTCCAGATCGGTGTTATATTGCACTTCAATTCGATGTTGTAGACGCTTGATAGAGATGTAAATATCAATCAATGCAAAACTATAAACATGTCAACTTTTACATTGAAAATCAATGGAAAGTTTATGATGTGAAGTTTTCCTCTTTTTTTCATAAAAATTTGATGGCACTCCCCTTTCTACATCTTCGAATGTGAATTGAATATCCGTTGTTACTTGTTAGCAGCCTAAGGAAGTAGCTAAAGGACCAAATTGATAGCTTCAATACATTAAAACGTAGGGAAAGGAAAGAAAAGGCAGGAAAATTTATACAAGGTTTGTAAAGGTTTTTCTACCTTTGCCTTCAAACCAAATACAGCTTTAGGGAGAAGGTTGTTAAGAAATACAAAAAGATCGTGGAGAATAGATACTTCATGGTTAACAAGCGAATGGTAGATGTCTTGACATCAACGGAGATCTAAGGGTGATGGAGGGCTATAGGGGAGAAGCCCAACAAGCGAATCTGTTTCAGAAGGTGATACGTACTGAAGCAAAGGAGGGCAATGGTGATGGACATAGTAGTGGAGATATAGGAGAGGCACAACGCAATGGAGGTAGAGAAGAAACTAAAGAAATTGCATCAAGTGATCTTGGACATGACGGTGCTGGTGTAGAGCCAAGGAGATGTAAGAATCTGTTTAATTCGTAATTGGAATGGGAATCAAAATCCTTCAGAATCAGAATCGAAATAGTCCATTCTCATAATATATTTGATTTAAAATAGCCCATTCTGATTCTCCAGACCCCTATTCTCGCAAACCAAACGAGGCATTCATCAAGGATGGAATAGAAAAAACACTCGGAAATGGGCTTGCTTTGGGATCACCAATCACCATCCTCCTGATAAGCATATATCCTCATTATGGTCATTATCGTGTAGAGCCATTTTAGTGTTTATGTTGTTCTGCGTCAAATGTAGAACAGTAGTCACCAAATACAGTATAAGAGGTTATTCATAATTTATATTAGGTTTAAAAATTGAACCCGTTCAAATAAAAAAAAAAAAAATTGAATGAAAGAGAAAAGAAAAGCAAAACATGAAATGAAAGAAAGATCAAGAAAAATAATGATTAATAATAAATATTTATAAATTGATACTTTCTCTTTTTTTTTTAATTTGTATTGCACCCAACGACAAAAAATCCTGATTCTACGATCACTTAAATTTTCTTCTCACAAATTCAAATATAAAGCAAAAAATACAGAATAAATTGGATCCGAATGACAGGTGGCCTGCAACCAAATATGCCTATTTCATTCACGATGAGGTGAACCCCTGTAATTATCATTTTGTGGGCATGCAAGAAGATTAGATAAGAACGCATTCAAACGAAATAATAATAGTTGGAAACTTGGAGTACATGAGCAGCTAACACATTTCCCTACGTGTCACTTTTGTTACGTACCAATCTCTTACGCGTCAATAAAAACTCCAAAAACAATCCTTTTTCGCATTCCACATCTCTGCTCTTCTTCTCCTTCTCCCCGTCTCCCCTACTCTACAAGACACCCCCCACCTTCCTCTCCAACCTTCCCATGTTGCGGTACTGTCTCTAAGAAGAAGAAAAAAAAGAATTAGAAGAACAACTGCTGTCAAAACGGTTGATACCCGGCAGTAGTTCTAGGGTTGCAGTGATGCCGGGACAACGTAAATTTGCTGTTGGAGGGTCTGAAGAGGCCACACACCCTGATTCCTTACGAGCCGCCTTGGCCGAGTTCGTCTCCACCACAATGTTCGTCTTTGCTGGAGAAGGCTCTGTCCTCGCTCTAGGTATGCATGTTTGAGTTTGATGCGCTTGTTACTTATATTTTGCAAACTGTGCATGTCCGTGAATGTACGTGATACATGGATGGATGGATGAGTTCTTCTTGTGCAGGTAAGTTATACGGAATCCCTGGAGTAAGCTCTGGGTCTGGACTGGTGGCAGTGGCGCTGGCGCATGCGTTCGCCCTCTTCGTGGCCGTGTCGATTGCGAGTAACATATCCGGAGGTCATGTCAACCCGGCTGTCACTTTGGGTGCGCTCGTGGGCGGACGGATCACGCTCCTGCGCGCCTTGCTCTTCTGGGTGGCTCAGCTTCTAGGAGCGATTGTGGCAGCTCTCTTGCTAAGGTTCACAACGGATGACATGAGACCAGTCGGGTTTGCGGTGGGACCTGGCATTGGGCAATTGCATGCGCTTGTTCTTGAGGTTGTGATGACTTTTGGGTTGGTTTACACTGTTTATGCAACTGCCTTAGATCCCAAGAGAGGTCCTCTGGGCACCATCGCGCCGCTGGCCATTGGTCTCATCGTGGGTGCTAACATACTTGCTGGAGGACCCTTTGATGGTGCGTCCATGAATCCAGCCCGCGCCTTCGGCCCTGCGCTTGTTGGGTGGCATTGGAAAAACCACTGGATCTATTGGATAGGACCCCTCGTCGGTGCAGCATTAGCAGGTCTCGTGTATGAGTTCGTAATGATCCCACAAGCCAACCCACATCCACATGCTCACCAGCCCTTGGCCTCGGAAGATTACTAGTGAATGAATGATGCATTCTGTTTACTTTTCAGTTCCCTCTGTTTGTCTTCTAGAGTATGTATTTACGTCTCTGAGACTGGTGAGTTGTAAACTGTAATAAATGCCAGCCTCCTTGTCTTCTTTTATGGTCGGGTGTTTTGTGTGTCTACTTGGTCTCAGGTATAGAGAGAGAGAGAAAGAGAGAGAATTCCATGAAAAATTACTAGGAAACATTGAGGTAATATCTTTTATTAGAAGATTTTAGCATCTATGAATCAAATAAACCAGTTTCGGACTTATTCCAATTTGCTAAAGAGAATTATAAGTATGAATTAATTAATGAAAATAAAAGATAATAACAAAAAGAACAAAACAAAGGACACGGGTTCCCCCTATCGCGTATAAAACCTGGCAACCCAAGGCGCAAGCTCTGTATTTTCGGGATCTCTTCTGTTGGTGGAATAGTAATCAGACCAAAAACAAGGTGAGAGTCTATCAACCAGGCTTCTGTCACTATAGATGCAAAATGGCAGCCAACCTTCACCGCCATTCATTCTCCTCTTCCTTTCCCTTGGATAAGCTAAGGGTGCTTGTATGTATCTGCAGGAGAGACCTGAATGAAATTAGGAAGCTAAAGCAGAAATAAGCTAGCTTAACACACACTACAGTGGGTCAATAGAGAAACAACAATTAAAGCAAGTTGTTAGTCCTGTTGAGAGGAGTGTGCCTGCAAACACCATACTGTGAGGAGAGGAGCTGATGAATTTTCTACAAGTGCAGTCTAGCAACGACATAATACAAGCAATAGGTATCCTATCATTTGATGGGTGATGCTTTGTGCCATACTGCCATTACCGAATAGAAAGCAGAAGCAACATTGAGGAGGGTGCAAATACCTGATGCCATCAACCACAGCATCCCAGCAGAAATGGGTATGACCGAACACATGGCAAGCAGAAGGGTTCCCGTTTCTCCCATGTATAGACCTTAAGCGAGCTTCCAAACAATCAGATCCTATGATCTTGGGAAGGTTGGGGTAGAATAGCATTCTCTTCTCTGGACATAGCTCTTGCCTGTGCCAACAAATAGACAAGTCAGTTTACATGCCAGCGCAAATGAAATGGTGGAAACGTGAACATTGGCGTGAATAGATGATGTCGTTAATATCTCCTGGTCGCTTCCTAATCATCTTCAACATGGCAAAAGTTTTAAATTTCTTTACATATGGCAACCAGGCACCAAGAACATAGACTAAAAACTTTGTCGACTAACAAAAAAAGGAGTAAAAAACAAATCTGAATCAATAGGATTGATGCAAAGGAAGAAGAAGGAAGTTTTTAATTTCTTTACATATAACAACCAGGCACCAAGCAAGAACATAAACTAAAAACTTGTCGAATGACAAAAAAGAGTAAAAAAACAAATCTGAATCAATAGGATTGATGTAAAGGAAGGAGGAAGAGAGAAGAGACTAGGGAGAAAGAGAAGAAAGAAGAAGAACGTGCGAGGAGCAAAAAAATTGTTGGGGATTCACTTGTATTTATATCAATAAAATAGGACATTTACAATGACCAACATAAATGAATAAAGAGGGGAAAAAACGTTTAACCCCATGTAAATAAACAAATCGCATATCAACACTCTCTCTAAATTAGGAATAGATATTGATCATTCCCTATTGGCATAAATTTGCTTCTATCTTAGATTTGATAATACTAGTTCAAGATATTGGCCAACTGCAGGTTAAAAGAAAAAAGTAAGCAGATTTAACCAGATGCAGCACTTTTCCGAATAAAATGCCAATCAATCTCAGTTTAGTTATCACACCATAGCATCAGTCGCTCTTCAAAATCAACTCCCAACTCTCCAAGTAATGATTTCAACCATAAAGTTTCAGACACCATGACCCATAGACCAATATTCTGCTTTAGCATTGAAACTGAGTATTTCTTTTTGGGAAGCTTGCTGATCTCAACCATAAAGTTTCAGACGCCATGACCATAGACCAATATTCTTCTTGAGCATTGAAACTGAGTATTTCTTTTTGGGAGGCTTGCCTAAATAGAATAAACATTTATGATTTGATTCAGAAAAAGTTCAAAGGCAGATTATGTATCTCCCCCCATGTCTGTCCTCTTTGCCTCAGTAATGGAGAGACAGTTGAACACATTCTCCACTGTCCTGTCACGAGGAAGGTGTGGTATTATTTCCTAAACCTAGTTGGATACAGTTGGGTGTTCCCGGAGAAGGTGGAGGACCTCCTGTGGCAATGGCAAGGCAGAGGATTAGGAAAAAGATGAAGATTGTACTGGAATACGGTGATTCATGCAGTGTTCTGGGGCATATGGGAAAAAGAAACAACAGAATATTTGAAAACAAAGCTAGAAATTCCGAAGACCTAATTTCCTACATTATTTTCTTATGTAATCTTAGGGTGGTTAATTCTGGAGTGTTCAAAGGCTTTTTCTTAAATGACCTTCAAAGAAACATTTTAGAGATCCTACACTTCCCCAAAGAATGAATGATCACTAGACATTATTCTAGAGAGGGAGTGATGACACTAAACTTTGATGGTAGTGCCCAAGGATCTACAGGTCAAGCAGAAATTGGGGGTGTAATCCAAGGGGAAGGGGGGAATACCTACTGGGCTTTTAGTGGTCCGATTGGGAGGGCAGATGCTACCAAGGCAGAGGTCTTGGCTGAACTTACAGGAATTTGTGTTGCCAAAAGGCTAGGCTTATCCTCTTTAACCATTGAAGGTTATTCAGCAAATACTAAAGCTTGGTTAAAGGAGAAGGAAGGAGGGCCTTGGAGGCTGGCACACTTGCTAGCTGAAGCCAGAGATATCTTGGACTCAATGAATGTGAAGCTGGGTTGGATTCCTAGGGAACTAAACACTGTTTCTGATAGCCTAGCAAAGTCAGGGGGGACGGCTAGTACCACCAATTAAGGCCTAATAACCTAACGTAGACCACCTGTTATCGATACATCTAGCTTAATCTGCATTAGAGAAGCTTCTATTTTCATATAACCAGATGTTCTGTATAAAACTCCTTTGCCAAGATTCCTCTTCCAATAGGCCAATAGCCCATCAATAGCTGTGTTCATCTTCTCATGAAACGAGTAAATTTTTGTTTTTTTACTCTTCCAAGACACCAAAATACCACCAACAAAGGCCCAATTACCTAACGTAGACCACCTGTTATCAATACATCTAGCTCAATCTGCATTAGAGTAAACTTCTATTTTCATCCAGCTCGATCATTCAGTTATGATATGTAATCATTTGTAACGGCCTACGGCCTTTAAATAGACCTGAATGAATAAAGAATGGTGTCTTTGGAAATCAAACAACCTTCTCTTCTGCATTCAGGAAGAAATCCCCTATGAGCGGTCAGATCACCATAGCTCGGGGAAACACCAACCGCTGTTCTTGGAAACGAAAGGAGGTGCGTGACAAATAGCTGCAAGATGAACCTCCTTGATTCATGCATAGATTCTCTAATAACACAAACAACATATTATATGTTTTTTGGCAATAAATAAAAAATAAAATTTTATTAATCAAATAAAAGAATATATCTGAAGTCGGTGATGATCACTCAAGACATGAAAAATAAAAAAGTAGATTATTTTCATCTCTCAAGGTCAAGAACTAAAACAGACTAAAAATTTCAATAAAAAAAAAAACTTCATTTGTAATTCCTCAAATTCTGGAAGAAGCAAGACCCACACCCTAAACCCCTTTCCACATAAGAAAACAACTTGATCTTTGTGTTTTGACTGGCCATCCACCAAGTAGGAGGAATTCTCTGGATTGACTACCTGTTCAATCCTCCAGTCCACATCAGCCCTATGTCCTACCTTTTGTTAGTGTTTTTCAACAAATAATATTATACTAGAAATATAACATGGTTGTTTGGGGCTCAAATTTCTCCCATCAATGGAGCATGGCTAGAGGAACATGTAGGGCCATGTTGGGCCGAAAATCAATTTTCCACATAGAAAATTCCTATGTAATTCATCCGTCTTTACTAAATGACCTGAATATAACACCCACTGCCTATATGTATGCATGTCAAGTATGAAAGATTGATTTAATACTAGGGTTACCAACCTCCATAGAAGCTTCAATAAGATATCTATGAGCTTTATGAAGTTTGAACATATAAATGATAATATCCAACAACTAAAAAACTAACCTTGGAAGAAAGTGAGAAAATGTAATTGTTTGACTACAAGTCCTCTGTATTTCTTTGATTGGTTCACTATTCTTATCATTCATAGCATCAAAGTATAATGCAAGGGAAAGATCTTTGCTCGAAAGTCTCCCAGGCCATTTGCATGCACGAAAGTCTTTACATGCCTGCACACACCATCAGATAAAGATTTTGGCATTAGAAAAGGCCACAAAATCTGATATCTAGGTTCCCTAAAACCAAAGCTTCTAATTCTAAAATATAATCCACCAGTTTCTCTGGGTAATAGAGATAAATATTTCAAAACAGATATAGATAACCAACAATTCCTAATAACTAAATAAGAAAATGGTTTTGAATAACACATCATCATCATCATCATCCAAGCCTTATCCCAACTAAACGGGGTCAGCTACATTAATCCTGTTTGACCATTCCATTCTGTTAAAATGGTTAAAAAACTGACTTCTTATATCAAGTTTCATCAGGCATTCAAGACCCATTTGTAAGTCTGTGGGCCTTATTTTCCGTTCTACTGATCTATATTTGTGCTTGGGAACATTGTTGTACTGTAGCTTGTATACACTGCATCATTATATATAACATTTGTCCATTATTTTTAAGAGAGGTACATGATGTAGAGAGTCTGTAGGTTGATCCTTAATTTCTGTTGTATTGATCTATATTTGTGCTTGGTAGTATTGTTGCAATATAGCTTGTATATACTATATCACTATTGACAGCATTTGTCTATTATTTGTAAGAGAGGGACATAATGGTCCTTTCTCATACTTTTAAATTACTAATATATAAATCCTTCTTTTTGGGGTATGATCATTATTAGACACACCCAAACAACTTCAGAAGCTTCACTAAAAACTTTACCGGATTTCTTCTGGTCCCATTTCCACTCTAACCCAACCCCAGATAAACTTTTCCTAACTATTCATGGCTGGTGGAATGAGGCATCTTTTTTTTTTTTTTTTTTGATAAGTTGGAATGAAGCATCTTTCAACATCTCGCTCTATCAAAAGACATATCTTCTGTTAAATCAAAAGTATTCAGATACATTGGAGGAATGGAATAAAAAAATGACACAATGTAGTGAAGATGTCTTGCATTTCTACCACATTTTACTGGAGTGTTTATGAGGAACAAAAAACGCTTATTATAGCGAAGTAATTAACAAAAGAAATGAGAATTCAAGAAAAAAGTAGTTGAGAACCACCTTAACAAAAACAAGTTCTCAATCAGAGACTTTACGACATATACGAAATTCCTATACATCATCAATTATAATGCCCTACATGAAGCACAAGTCAAAACCAAATGAAGCCATACCAACATCTTTGACAACAGTAAGTGCTCACTGCTCAGTATCATCAGATAGGAGTTGACAACTGCAGCTTTAAAACTATTGGATTTACCAGTAGCAAGCTCTCAGTAATTAACATTATATAGCATATTGTATGTTCACCAGGGACTGGAGTTTGTAGATACTTTCATACTTTGCATTACAACATTTTTACAAGTAACAGAAAGACTTTATTAAACAGTCAAAAAAGCAAGAAAGAGTATAAGAATACTTTTCATTGCAATTCTCTCAGTAGATAATGGAAACAGAAAGAGATCATTACAACCTTGCCTACATCAAAGTTCAAACAACACCAAATGGTAGAATATTCAATACCATCAGCAGTCATGCTGATCAAAGACTTTAAAATTCTCTTAATAGGAGAAAGGAAAGTGAATCACCATCTCCAGAAGAGGAACACGGATGCCTTCAATGTCCTTCTCTCTATCAAAACTCTACAAAATCAATGGCTCCACTCAGTAGATGGACATCAAAATTATGCCTCACTTTGACCAAACTACTTGTATTCCACAAAATGAGACATAAAAAATTTACAATTTATTGTCATCATCTGTCACCTCATGATACCAAGAGAACAAAGGAATGATCCCAATGTCATCCACAATCCTCGGACTGGTTTCTACTCCAAGGCCTCTACACGCATCAAGCAATGCATTCAACTTTTCAAGTGAACCAAGCTGACAAGTATAAAATCAAATTCAATCTTCAGAATGGCATTTCTCTTTAAGTAGTCATATAAGCATCACTTGCAGAGAAAACTGAAAATATGAGCTTTGGCAGGTACCTTGTTGCAAACCACATATTGTTAGAAAACTACTAAGGAACAAAACATTTTGACATCAATGCATACCACTGGCACTGGAAGTCCAGAACTAGAACCGTTAGGCACCATCTGATATAAAGCAAATCAGATACATACATATAAAGAATTCGAACTTATTATGGTCAACATAAGCTCTAAAATCTGGGTAAATGATAAATATACAAGAGAATGCCAAGATTTGTAACTATTATTAATGAGAAAAATGGCATATTTACAAAATATTGCATTCAAATGACCTAGATAAAGAGCATTCTCTTCTTTGTGAACACCATAAGATATTATCATTAAGCTGATATGTTATTCGATAAAATAGAAAGGAAAATTAGCCATGGAGAAAGTTAGCAGACCATAAGTTCCTTACAAACTTGTTTCCCTCCCTTCGGCACCAAAGATCATGGTTTCCAGGTACAAAGAACACATGGTGGAATCGATCCTTTAATAGAGACATTGTCAAAACAAAATTCTTGTATGTCTCTGCTACATCACCCGCAACAATGAGAACATCTTTCTTATATCTTACGGTCGATAAGCATTTCACCCAAGCCATGTTTTCTGAGTAATCTGTGTGCAAGTCAGAGAGTACAAAAACTCGCAAACTGGCTGCATCTCTGTGATCAGGAGGCAATATCTGAGTCCTCTGAACGCACAACCTCTTTATGTCTCTTCTGTTTCTTTTGTGGATGAAATGATCAGAAATGCATTTGGGTAATCTGGATTGTTGATGTAAACTCAGATAAGATGGGGACAACCCCACCACCATGAGGACACAACAGGAACTGTCAACGGCTTCTTTCCTATAACAATTATGATGTAAGTCCACCGTTTCAAAAAATAAATCATCTAATTACATAATTAGAGCATAAACATTTTAGAAGTGTTTACTATTTAGCACACTGAATTAAAACAACCAGAAAACAGGGAATAAAATCAGCAAATACCAGACACGGAAAGGGGAGAATAATAAGAAAAAACGGAAAAAAAGAAGCTCAATCAGGAGACTGGAATAATCTCTGGTTGACGATGAATATTATTGATAGCCAAGGAAAAATAAAAGAAACCCACAGTCGAAACCCAACACATTTAAAAATAAATTGAAATTTCGTCAACAACATGAAATTTTACTCCAAAACTCTCTCTTTTTTCTTCTTCTTTTTTGGGGGGTAGGGGGTGGGGGCGTAAGAAGACGGGAAGAAGAACTTGTTACAATTTATATAAGATTTTCAGAAAACCCATGACCTTAAATGCTGAAACCGTGATGAGCAAGAAAAGAAAATCTCAGGAGATCCACCAAACAACAAAATCTGAAATTTTCAGGACTACCAGAAAACCCAGAGATAAGAAATGGGCTTTTTAGCAAAGAGATGAATGTAATTCCCAGAAACCAGGAAACCTAGAGACGAGGATTTTGAAGAAAATATAAGAAAACTTTGAAGGTGAAGACGCTAGAAAACTCACGGAAATTTACAACTCAAAGTTAGTGAAGCAGTAATTTGCAGACAGCACATGAAAATTACAATTAGAAAAGAAAAACAAACAGAAAGAATATATCTATTAAGTAGAGAAAATTTCAGAAGAGAAAACTAAGAACATGAAAATTTTAAAGCTGAAATTTAGCAAACTTGGGAAGAAATTCGTGGAAAAAAAAGAATAACATGATGAAACGACTGCATCACTCCAGCTACAACCAAGAAAAGACAAGGCTTTACTTCCTAATCAACAAAGAGAGAACCGTAAAAATTACCTTTTTTTGGATGAGATGGACTGTGAAGTGAAAGTCGTTCGAACTTGAAGCTAAGCCTCAAACTTGAATCATATGATACAAGGAAAAGAAACTCAAGAGAAATGAGGAGGGCAGTGATATCGGAAATACAGGTAATGGAAGAGCTTTGACCAATCAAAAGTACCCCGTAAATTTTGATGAATAGTAACTGATTGATCACCTCCAGTTGATTGGCTGTAAGCTTTTCCGGATTTCCTCCTCACAGCTCATGGCAGCCGTGCATTGGGCACATCCGATTAACATTTGTGCAGGTACAAGTCTAATCCAGATTCGCTCCTCACACCAAGTCACAGCTCATCGCAGCCGTGAATTGGGACAAATGTTGACTAATGTAAGAAATAAACGTTGATTCTATAATTTGGTTGAGAAATTGGACAGTGTGTTCTCTACCACATCAAATTGTCATAGCAGTCATAGCAGAATAGATATCGGATTCAGGCAGAGAGCATAGTCGGTTCGAACACTGTTCGAACAGTCTTTATAGCCTTGCATCAAGAATATCTCCGTACTTTTATGCTTTATTTTATAGGGAAATATTTCCCATGCAAGGCTATGATAGTTGTTGGAATAAACTTTGCTCTGACTGAATCCTATAATCCTATTTCACATCACACCCACATAAGCGTTTTGCAAGGTTTTATGTGAGTTTAGATGTGCTCCTCAAAGAAAGCACCTCACAACCCCATCCCATTATGTATCAAGAATATATCACATCCACATAAGCGTTTTGCAAGGTCTGATGTGAATTTTTGGATGTATTCCTCAAAGAGCGCATCTCACACGGACCTCACAACCCCATCCCATTATCTATCGGGAACATCTACCATCCTCATGGTGAGATGTTCACAATGGGATGGGACTGTGAGGTCTACGTGAGATATGCTTTTTGAGAAACAGATCCTAATTCGTGTGGTATAGTTTGGTATGGTTTAGGCCATACTTTGTGTTTTGATTCTATGTATCTCATATATACAATGTAAAATAATTTATATTATTAATCAAGAGTAATATTTTTTTGGGCTTTTAAGCAAAATGTAAATTAATCATATAAATTAAATTAGCATGTGATCAATTATTAACCATCACCAATACAAATTAATAAAACATTAGAATATAAGTTGAAAAGTTAATATTGAATAAAAAATTAAAAGTAATATAAAAATATAAAACACATACATAAAATAACTAATACAGATGATAAATAATTACTAAAAATTAATCTAGAAATATGTAAAATGAAAAAAGTGAAATTTAAAAAGATGAATATTACTAATTACATACAAGACATAATTTAAAAAGATATCGTGTCAAATAATAATAATAATCCCCTGTGGCGTGGTGACTAGACCTGTTCATGGGCAGGGTCGGGCTTTTACTCTTCATTAATGAAAATTTGTTAGGGCCGAGCCCGACCCCGACCCGACCAACAGGCCTACAACTTGGGCTCGAGCCGGGCCCTGATAAAAAGCCCGAAGCCCGAGGACTCACCGCTGGTGATTGTGTTCGCCGGAGCTGAGTTCGCGATGACTGTGAGCTACGACCTGCGATTTTAACAGTGATCAGTTCACGTCTGAGCAAGAAAGAGAGAGAGAGAGAGAGAGAACTCACCGCCGCCGGGCCGGCCCATGAACAAGTCTAATGGTGACAACCACAATATTGACCTATTGCCGATATTTTGCTTTGTCACACCACAACCGAACATCTGAATTAAATATGGCATGGTTTGAAACCCACTATATCGTGGGTTTACCGCACAATCGAACACTACCTAAAACCCATTTTTAGTTAAAACCATGGACCCCAAAGCATGGTTTTTAAAACTGGACCGGACTGGACAGTCGAACCGAAAAAACCCTGACCAAGGTAAATTCATACTCTGGTTCACTTTTGCTTGTGTTTGGCAACATTACATTTATGCATTGACAAATAACAGAAAATACATTTTAATGTGCATATGTGCATTCAAGTGAGCTTTTGATAAAAATAAAAAACGCATATGCTTTATTGGAATTTGTATTTGCATTTATTACAACTAAAAATCTATTTGGTAATTTGTTAGTGTAAAACTAACCCAACTTTGCAATTTATATGGACCGTTTTACACTCTACATATTTGCATTCGCCTTTATTTGCATCATTTCCAAACGCAACCTTAGGGTCTCTTCGGTTTGTAATTGGAACCAGAAATAAGTCTAGAATGGGAATGGAAATTAGGCCCCATTTGGTTTGTTTGGTTCAGACAGTAATGGGAATGGAAGTTAGGCCCCATTTGGTTTGTAGGAATAAGAGTCTGGAATCAAAATTAAAATGGGCTATTCTAGTTCGAACTATTTGGTTGGGTGGAATAGGAATCCTGTTTTCATTCTTTCTGGAATGGCATTTTCCTCATTTGAGGGAATGGCCATTCCTTGCCCCTAGGGGTGGCCACGAGCCGATCTTCTCATGAGCTATTCGAGGTCAGCTCGGCTCGATTTAAACTAAGCTTCAAGTCGAGTTCAAGCCTGATATATAGGCTCGTTTGCTAATCAAGCTAAGCTTGAGCCTAGTGAAGCTCGGCTCGTGAGGCTCGCAAACCTAGTATAATAAATAAATATTTTTTTTATTATATACATACATACATATAAATATATATAATAAATACTTTTTATTATATAATAATAATTTATATATAATATTTTTATTTTTATGTATAATAGTAAATAATTTTTGTAATTCTTATTTTTTTGTATGTAAAATAAAAAAAAAATTATTTTTATATGTATACTTCTTATTTTTTAGAAAAAAACTTGGCTTGCAGTCGAGCTCAAACTTGCAAGCTTTGAATTGAGCCGAGCTCGAGCTCGAGCCTAACATAGTTTTAGCGAGCCAAGCTCAAATAGCCAAATATTTGGCTCAGTTCGGCTCGAATCCACCCCAACCTGCCCCTCACTTGGGAATGAAATCTCATTCTTGATGATTCTAATTCTCATTCTTATTCCTGTCTGAACCAAATAGACTATGGGAATATACCACTCTGATTCCGATTTCGACTATGAACCAAACGAACCCTTCGAATCAGATGAATGGAATGTCATTCCCAAGTGAGGGGCAAGGAATGGCTATTCCCTCAAATGGGGGAATGCCATTCCACCAAGAATAAGAATGGAATTCTAATTCTGCCCAACCAAACAGTTGGAATCAGAATAGGTCATTATGATTCCAATTCTATACCTACGAAGCAAATGGGCCCTTAGCTCAAATGGAGGCTTGTCCGTTGGAGTGGGGATTTTATGGGAAATCATCTTTTTTTTCAAGATTGATTCCATTATCAAAATTTTCGAGTTTGGAGGCTGAAATTCTTGCTTTTTGTCATGGCATCTGTTTTGCTTTAGATGTCTCTTCTCATCGGGTAATCATTGAAGGTGGTGGACTTTATATGTGAAACCCTCTTAAAGGTTTTGCAAGACTCGCCTTCATCCACCAATTTAACCATTGTTAAAGGAAAGCTATGTTGGGCAGTAGAGACAGCTATGAATGCTGAACCCAGAGCTTTAGTAAGCGCCCTGGAAGCAACTTTAAATACTAACCTTACCAATTTGATTATTCACTCTGACTCTCAAAAACTCATAAACCTTTTGATTAGTATGAAAAATCCTATGACATGGAGCAACTTCATTGGTCTCACATCAACAATCTAATCAAGCATTTCCAATTTATATTTTTTGTTCAACTAACGCAGAACCAAGTTGTTCAAATTTTTGCTTATTTAAACTGCATTTGGAATCGGTGTAAAACCAAGTTGTTCAACTGACGTATTACACTGAACCATGAAAGTGACTGTTGCTTTTTGAAAATAGCGATGGATAGAAGAGTGTAAAGTTTTACATCGATAAAATCAATATAGTTTTTACATTAATTATTGATGTAAAATTTTAGAGCTAATGAGGTTTTACATCGATTATCGACGTAAAACTCTACTTCATCCACATGCACGCAAAACTGAATCAGAGTAGAATTTTACGTCGATAATAATTATACTCTCTTTCCAAACGTTTATAAAACCGAACCGATGTAAATGTAAAATGGCTATAAAACCAAACGTTTATAATAGTTACATCGGTTCTTGATTTACAACACATCCAAATGCAGCCTTACCTTCTAAATTTAAAGTGGCTATAAGCTACAATTCTGTACTCAACTATCACGTTCAGTTTATCGATGACTGAAACTGCTTCCTTTTCTTTGCTAAAAAAATAACTAAAGCAACCGTGAAGACTGGAGCATCCAGGCCATCGTTGCTGATTGCACTAGTTATCTTTCTTGCCTTCCTTTCTACTCGGATACACAATGTCAATGTCAAGAGAAGTAGAGAACAGCGATGAAAGCTGTGGATTTCCTATAGCTAATTATGCTCTTTCTTGTATTAGACCATGTAAATAGTCTATCTGTTGAGAGATTCTCTACAGCCTTGTATCTTCCGGTTCAATTAATTGAGGGGGTGTTTGGTACTAGGGCCCAAAAAAATTGTAGTACGTTCCAGGCCACTGGGCATTGTGGTCAGTGTTCTATATTGTGGCTATGTGGTGTGTTCCAAAGCCTTGAGATTTGGAATGCACAAATTATTATTAAAATCTTACAAATCATTGTTTGATGAGTGTTTCAAGGTGTGATGGGTTTTGGAACACGATATTTTGGTGTGGTGAAAATATTGCACTATATTTAATTCCAAAACACATCATAGGTCGGTCCAAAACGTAAAAGAACACCATTCTCTATGGTGTGCTGTAGAATCAAATCCCCATTTCTTTTTTAGGTAAGTTACTTATTTAGGTAAATGCAATTGACTGGGTAAGTTTTTCCTCGGAAACACTTACCAGGTAAGTGCATTTACCCATGTTCTTTTATTTCCTAGGTAAATAAGGTAATGACCATTTTAGCCATAAAATCCATTATTAAAAGGGGCATTTTTGTTCCATTCAAGTGTTAGCAACTTTCCCCCTAGGTGGGAAAGTTATTTACCCACCTAAGAAATGGATATCACTTACCCGGGTAAGTGATACCGGTAAGTGATACCCAGGAAAGTAAATTTTCCCTGGTCCCCACATAAATCTGAAAAATGAACATGGGATTCTTGGTCAATGGAAACCAAAATCCCATTGACCAACATTCCCCCCTCTCAAAATCCAAAAAAAGAACACCCCCCAAGTGAAATGAGCCACAGCCATGCTATAGAACACCCTTTGAATTGAAGGAATTTGTGCAGTTATTCACTTCAAAAAAATGCTTTAGCTAGGGAAGATAAAATTAGAAATAGATTTTTGTGTGGGTGGGACTCTCCACCTTTTTTGGACTTTCCACCTGTGCGGGTAGAACAATTTGTATCATTCCCAGTATTATAATTTAATAGTTTTTTTTTTATCTATCAAAACAATTTTTTTTTGCACTATATTGCAACTTGGCCTAGTTTTTATCGACCCTCTTAATCATCGTCATCATTACCATCATCATCCAAGCCTTATCCCAACTATATGGAATCAGTTATGTGAATCCTGTTTTGATAAACTTAATAAATAATATATTAAAATAAGAAAAATGATTTAAGCAATAATAATTTTACAATATATATGGCATTCAACAGAACAGAATGGCAAAACAGTTTTCATGCAGCCGATCCCATATAGTTGGGATAAGCCATATTTTAGGATTTTGTACTTGGGGGTTTAAAAGTGTTTTGGCTTCAGATTATATAATGTTTTTGAAAACAACTCTTAGCAAATGCTCAAAACACTTTTTTGACTAGATCTTGTAAACCAAAGCATAAAAGCAAAAGCTTATACAAACAGAGTCTTAGTTAGGCTACATGTGGCAGGTAAATTTTAATAACTTAAGCTTAGGCCACATGTGGCCTTTGCAATCAATCATGGCAATACATCCATTGACCTAACTTCATGAGGGGATTTTGAGGACTCTTCCCAAACCAAGCACATAGAAAACCTGCAAAACCCTCAACCCAGAATGATTATTAGACCTCTTCAATCCTCATACATTACACAACTAAATATTCTTATCCTTTCAATCCAAATTCTACTATAATCTCAGTGTACAACAGTTAAAAAACTTTACATACTCAAAAGCACAGTTAATGAATTGTTGAACCATTCAGAAATTCTCGCTCACACTGACATGAAAAAAAGTTTGAGTCCTAAGATACTTCTTCCTAAATCCACATATATTGGGTAGTTATGCTATTTTCCATCCCTATTTTGCTACATAGACAGAATTTGCATCTTCAATTGATCTTAAGCCCAAACCTCCTTCAGCAGCAGCAGGTTTGCAAATCTTGGCCCCATCCACTAAGGCCGACTTACTTCTCGTTACTTAGCCTCCTAGAAGAATCTTCTTTGAACTAGGTCAACACTCAACATCATCTCGAGTAATCTGAAACATCTCATATTATATGTTGCAGCACTGTCAAAGAAGTACTCTTTGTTAGGGTTAACTTTTTAACTATATCAGCCCAACAGGCCAGGGTTTGGCCAAGCCTAGGCCTGGTTCATATATGAAGAAGCCCAGTCAACACATGGAACCAAGTCCCATAACTCCCATCAAGCACAGCTTTCTCTTTCATTCTGCAAGGAGGTTAGTGGATTTTGTTTGTGATTGGGGCGTGTAGCCTGCTGTACACATCTTGTTTCTAGCAAATCCAGAGTCTCAACAATGCAACCATAATTGGAACCAAGAAAAATATTGCCATCAAAGGAAAATTACATTTATTGTTATGGATGAAATGATAATATTGACACTCAGAAAGAACTATAACAGTATCAATTACCTAGAAACTAAAAAAAGATAACTTAGCAATGGCCCCTGGATTTGACATATAATTCACTGATCAGAAGTTATTTTAGAAGCTGCATTCAACTTTTTTTCTTTTAGGATGAGTTTCATCATTTTGTCTTTTTTTTTGAAGATCAATTTCTCAATGTTTATTTATGGAGCAAAATGCTGTTCAAAACCATTACCAACATCCTTGGAGACATCACTGATTAGCACAAATAGCATTCCTACTTCCAAAAAAATAATAGGATTTTTTTTTTCTTCCAGTGTCTATAGTTCTATATTTGGAATGTCAAATCCAACCTTCTCTACTTCATCCATTCAAACATTTTAGAGACTTTCATGCAAGCAAGCGCACAACAATCTGCCAATTTGTAAAAATATGCTTTACTTCAAGTGTATTGAAAATTTAGAGACTTTTGGAGATTTAATACAGATATTTGTATTATCTGTGATTTGATGAATGTTATTTAGAGTTTCCTGTATTAGGTTACAGGTGTAATTTAAATCAGGAATATTTTCAGCTATGCAAGCTTTTGAGTGTTTGTTTCAAGTGTTAACCACTATTTGTTTAGGCATATACCAGTGCTTAAATTAACATTAGGAATTCAAAAACAAGGCAGTTATGGTCCCTTTATAAACTTTTAAGAACGTAATAGGGAAATTACTTTTAGTTGATGCAGCCTTTGGTAATTTTTCATTATTATTTTATTACCTTTTATTTACGGGGATGTGCCTGTAAATGTTACTAATTAAATATCACCTAGGCATGATTTCTTTTCTTTCCTTTTCTTTTCTTCAACCTGGCACAATTGAATTTCAGTGGAAGTGCATTTCAATAGAAGGAATTACAAATCTATTATCGTCCTGGGTCCAAAGGAAGCAATAATATTACTATAAAGGGAAAACTGAGGAAACTATAGAACCAAGCTCCTCCAGCTCACTAGGCCCAGAATAGACTATAATAGCAGTCTTCAAAATAACTTTGCATGAAAAAAAAGAAGTGCATGCATTTACCCCCACAACTAGGTAACATGATCTTTAATTTCCACTTCCTTTAACAATGCAGATCTTTATGACTGCTGCTCCCCCTATACGATGAAGTGCTACAACTGCATCACCCGGATTGCAAAGCCCCTTCTGTGTTGCTGACTTGAGAGCAGCTTCCAGAATCACCTCTGTTGACTCTGCATCTGTAGCCTTGGCAGATCCTTCACCCAGTAATGGGATCAGACCCCTGTAGACCAGGCTGTGCCTTGCTGGGGCCTCATCACTGCAGGTCCAGTCAAATGAATCTGTTGTCAGAACTGGGACCACCACAGAGAGAATTGGAACTGCTGGCCTATATTTTGCTATCAACCGGGCAGTAGTCCCACCACGGGTCATCACAACAATAAGGGTGGCTCTGGCTTTATTGGCTACTCGGACCGCTGATGAGGCAAGACTCTCCAATGGGCTCATTGGGAGAGGGGCTGACCTAATCATTTGCTTGAATATCGCAGCATAGTCGAGGGAAGACTCTGCCTCAATGCAGATACGGGCCATGATCTTCACAGCAAGCTCTGGGTAGGCTCCAGCTGCACTCTCACCACTAAGCATGACACAATCAGTGCCATCGAGGACAGCATTGGCAACATCAGTGGCCTCAGCACGGGTAGGACGGGGAGACTTGATCATGGATTCAAGCATTTGGGTCGCAGTGACAACAGGCTTGCCTACAAGGTTGCACTTATAGATCATCATCTTCTGAGCAAGGAAAATCTTCTCAACTGGGATTTCCATTCCAAGATCACCACGAGCAACCATGAATGAATCTGTTTCACGCAATATCTCATCAAAGTTGACAACTCCCTCCTGATTCTCAACCTTCAAATTCCAAAAATAAACCAGTTATTGGATAACAAAGAAGAGAAACTGAACTATTAACAAATAATACTTCATGGAGAAAACCTGAGGTGCCCTTCAGGGCCATTAGGTAAAAAATGAAATTAAACTTCAAACGAACAACCCAATGTTGAATGGGTCCATAGCTCTCACCTATGAGAACTGCGAGGTCAAAGGTAAACCAAAGAAATGATCACAACTACTATGGACATGGCCCTTTCTTTGAGTTATTGACAGAAATTTCCTTCTGTCCAAAAGAATTAGACTCATTGGAGATCTAGAATCATCTAAATAGATTGAGTTTTCACTTCTACATCCAAGACCAATCACACATCAATTATATGTCCATTTCCTTTTGTTATATCAAATGTAAGAGTACCAAAACTTTCTTCATGTAAATCCACCCAGGACAATTTTTCATTTAAATAACTGTGCTGACCTTTGACATTAACTTTATGCGCTTGGCATGGGGTCCAAGAACCTCCCGGACATTGACAAGATCTGATCCCTTGCGCACAAATGATAGAGCAATCATATCTATGTTGTTGGGAACACCCCATCCCAGTATGTCTTCCTTATCCTTCTCAGTAAGTGTAGGAAGATCCACCACAACACCAGGGAGATTGACATTCTTTCTCTCGCCTAACATAGCAGTGTTTTCACAGCGGCATCTCACAGTTCCAGCTTCAGGATCACAAGACAGGACACTAAGGGTGATAGTCCCATCTGCACAGAGGATGGTGTTGCCAGGCTTCAAGTCCACAGCAAGCTTCTTGTAACTCATAGAGATCATCTCTGTGTCTCCCTTGACAGTGTAGTCAGTACTTACAGTAATTTCTTGACCCTCCTTGAGTTGAATAGGTTTCCCATCCTTTAGGAAGCCAGTTCGGATTTCAGGTCCCTGCAAAGTGAAATAAGTAGATGAGGTGCAAAGCAAAAGGATAAGCAGTTCTTCAATGAAACTCATACTACACACAGGAAAATACATAATTCAGATTCAATTTATTGCTGAGTCAGCCACAGTCAGAACTAATAGCCAGGGAGAAGTAAATCTACAGTGGAAATCTATGGGCCTATGGAGACATTTTGGTTTGGAATAAGAAATTCAGAAACCAAATGAAGTCATGGTAATATTGTGAAACATATATATGAATTTATATTTTAGTAAATGACAAACAAAGTAGGTGTTTTACACTTGTAATCCATAATTCTCTATAAACATCCATTGGAAAAATAGGAACTAGTTGAATAAACAAAGTATTAACTGATGCACATAAAACATGACATTGAATATTAATTGTATTTTCACTATTCAAAAGGAATATATTTTTTTAATAAAAAAATAAAATATCATTTCTTCTATTAAAGTTACAGTTAAAAAGAAAGCTTAGAATGGAACATACTTTCATCAATTGTCCCAAAGTGTAACCTCACGTGTTAAAGATTTTTAGTTCCAGTTTGCTATGTTGTCTTTTAATTTGGCTAAAGAAAAACTAGGCAAAATATCTTATATGCACTGTCCATAGTTTCTATACAATTTTGACATGCAACAAGTTTCAGTCCAATAGTAACAAGTAGACAGGTAGGCTCCTTTTATTCAATAAAAAGATGCCACTCATACCCCTAGTTTATAGTGAACTAAAGAAAGTAAGAAGCACCATATATTGGGGAAGGTGCATGCATGATGGTACATGAGCTGAAATGGAACTGGGCTTAGATGAACAGATCTTTAAATGGAACTCGGCTTAAATTATACGTTTTGCCTATTTAAGAGAAACATTTAAGTCCAAAGTATTCTTAGCCAACAAGGAGGGAGGGACTAAGAGGAGGGGTTAATTGGTTAATTGCCAAAAGGTGTGCAAACCAAAAAATGAAGAAATCCTGGGGTTGGGACAAATGTCCTAGAGAAATTTGGCTTTGGAAAATAATTATGGAGGTTTTAAATTTCAACAATAACCACTTTCATTATGAGCCACAGGAATCTGCAGAAAGTATAGAAATTAGCATAATGGATGGGACATCCTTTATTCCTTCTATTCAGTATGTTCTTGGCAATTGGAATAGCATTTCATTTTGGTCTGATTTAAAGTTTTGGAATGACACTACATTATGGTCTGACTTATAGTTTTGGAATGACACTGTATTTTGGTCTTGAAAAGTGTGATGTTCTTAAATGGAAAAAAAAATGCAACAACAAACAACAGGAAAAATACCATGTATAACATCCAACTAACAATTCATTCCCTAACAAGGCAAGTAGATTACTCTGTGAAAACTTAACTAAAAGCATACAATGTCTAATGAATAAACTAAAATCCTGAGTTAAGTTTCAGTTATAGCATTTTTTCTTCATCAGTCACCCAATCATGGCATTTCTTCCCCTATAACCTTTTCTTTAAATAATCCTCACTAGAGAGTTTACACAATGAGATTCATTAGAACCCCGTTTTTATCATAGAAAGTAAATTAACCTTAGTGTCAAGCATGACAGCACACAAGATCTGAGTATTCTGCATAGCTTCCCTGAGATTGTTCAAGGTCTCCTGATGATATTCATGGGTTCCGTGCGAGAAATTGAACCTAGCAACATTCATTCCCGCTCTCAGCAGCTTCTCAACCATAGGCACAGATCGTGATGCTGGACCCAGAGTGCACACGATCTTTGTCTTGGGGACCCGGCCATCGTCTGGGATGTCCTTCAGGATCCCCTCGAAATCGATATTCGCCATTGCTCGAAGCTAAGAAAATCTGTAAGATTGAAAGTTAGAGAACGCAAGATCTTGTATGGAAATTCAGAAATCGAGTTGAAGCAAAGACAACCGTGTCAAACTGATGGCTTTTCACAGAAGATTCAGGTACAATCAAATATGAAATTTCAAATTACAGAAAATAAAAGAACAGCATCAAATCTTCTACGAATAAATTACGCAGAAAAACACCGAATTTTACAGATTTGACAAAGTTATCAACTTTTGACCCTGAGCCTACTGAATATCAATAAAAACAAGAATACTAGAAAGCTTGCAAACATCAGAGTGTTCCAAATCTTACAAATCCCCCCAAAAGAAACTTTTACATGAAGAACACTAGCTACACACAATAAAGGAAAATCTCACAAAGAATAAGTGAGGGAGAATTATGGCAGAGAACCCAGATAACTGAGAGCTTAAATCATGAGATCTCAAATTCAGAGAACAATTAACAACCACTTACTCTGCAAGGAAAGAGAAACTCCAAGAAGAGTTGCAGCGTAGTACCCTTATCTGCTCTGAAAAACTGTTGTGAAGGAGGAGTAGAGGATAGATAGAAAACTTAGAAGAAGATGATTTGCGCCATTAATTATAAAAACAAAAAATAATAATTTTGGCGATATTTAGACTTTCAGAGGATCAACGGGACCCACCATTAAAGGGTATATGCTTACCAAATCCTCTCTACATCTGTCAGTCGTAATATATTATTCTCCTAACGATCTAAGGCTCAGGCGCTCAGCTAAAACGTCACTCACCTTCCCTCTCGGTGACGGTTAGCTGTTGTTAGAGAAGTGATACCGAAACTCGAGTGTCGCCACTCGACCCATCTCAGTGACAGTTGACAAAATATGCTTTTTAATTTTTATTTTAAATTCTACTACTCTATAATGCTCCCTGCAATCCGGGGTCCTGGGAGGAATAGTTCAACCTTCGCCTTTTTTTTTTTAATTTTCTTTTCTTTCAATCATCAACTTCCCCACATGCATACATTCCTCCAATTCCAAAGACCCCGTGTAAGAGATATTTCATTAGAATGCAAAATTTTTATCCTATACATTATAAGTTACAGAGCATTTTCTTCAAACAACCCAGTTTTGGATCTTTGCAACTATCAGACAACCCAGTTTTGGCATACTAACGAACATCCAAATCAATCTGCTTCGATTGCTTTTCTTATAATATATGACTTTGAATAAACTAAAAACAAAAATAAATCAAATAGTATTAGCTAATAACCCTTGAGAAAGAGTGTCTTATAATATTTGTTTGTTCATCCTTCTCTCTCTCCATCTGTTTTTCTTTTCCTTTTTTTGTAAGGTGGAGAAGAGATAGAGTCATTGTCATTGAAGTCATGGGAAATTTCAGATAATTTCCCTTTCTTCTTTATAAGTTGGCCGCTTGAACTCTGGCATTTACTCATAAGCCCGAAATTTTACCATTGGATCAAGCATTACTTTGCATGGGTTGGGTGCAACTTGGGCGGGCCCAACCCGAATCCAAACCAACCCAGCCTGCTATTTTGCATGGTTGAACTTGAATTTTAGGGCCTCAGGTGAGTCCAAAAGTTAGGTTAGGGCTTTTTTATTTTTCGAGTTGGGACCCAAGCCTAATTCTTAGATAATTCAAGCCCAGCCCCAGTCCGGCCCTACTTTATCCTAACCTAAGCCAGATGCACCTATCCACATACATATATGCTTTATATATATATATATATAGGTATATTAAATTTTAATGTAGATTAATTTTAATTGACCAATTTGATCCTAGCCCGGGCTCAACCCCAATCCGAATACATTAAATTTCAATTCAGGTCGGGCCTGGGTTGGACAGTTCGAGCTTGACCTTAGGCTTGAGCTTTATGCTCAATTCTTAGGGTTAGGGCCTGAGTTGAGGTTCAACCCAGCCCAATCAGCCCGATTTGCACTCCTAGATGAAAAACCTAGAGAGCCTAAGGTGGTGTTTGGAATACTCCTAGATGAAATAAGCCATGGAAAAACATGTTCTTTTCATGGTTTTCGAATTGTTATTGATTCGGACAATCGGACCATTCAATCGGGGAATCATCCAAACAACTGGTTCGGTTTTATTCCAAATCCAGTCCTTGACCAAAAATCGTTTAATTGGTCAATGACCCATTGACCTGGACGGTCGAACCATCGACCCATTGACCCATTCAATGGTTGTGGCCATTTTTTATATTTTATTATTTTTATTGTCAAAATGGGCCATCTGTTCAAACCGAAAAGTCAAACCCTCAACCAAGAAACTGATGGCTAGAACAATTCCATTTCCAGGTCATTCTTTAAAACCATGATTCTTTTAGAGGTGTGGCATGTTCTAAAATACAAAATCTCATGCCAGTCCAACCATGGTAATTTCTAGTGCTGTCAAACGCCACACTCCACTTCTATATTTATCTCTGATTCCCTGCTTCCTACCACAGTGTAGAACATACTACACTACAGCTTACAAAAGGCATAGTGTGTTATTTTCTTGCCTGGTGTGTCTGAGATGAATCACACATTTTTCAACCACAAAAGGGAACAAGTCCTAAATATATTTTGGTTCACCCAAAAAAATTAGCATGCTTTAGTAATTTCTTCAGAAGGACTCAGTGAAAGCAATTCAAATAAAACTAAATCCCTTACAAACAGGTCCTAATTATAGAAGGTCTAAGTCTGCATAGTCTGCATTTTGAGTCCCATTAATGTACATCAATAGGGTTTAAGAAACCTTTGCCTATTCCAAACTAATTAACACCCAAAGCAATTATATAAATCTATACCGTCTAATTTTCTAATGATTTACATTTAAACGTGTCCAAACTTGTCACTTTATGCAGGATATATAAGATACTTTGAGAAAAAGAATCCTTAATTTGTTTTTTAAGCCATTTTATTTGGTTTCTCCTTTTGGTTTTCTTTTAGAGTGTTTTGAATTGTTTAACATGCAGAGAATGGGAATTAACCCATTAACATGTAAATGGTCTCATCTAATGACAATGGGAATTACTAGTAGGTTTTTCACCGAATTACTCAGCTAAAAACCTCTTAATTATAATCGGGTCTTATTAGATCAGACCAAATTAACCCAACTAATAATCAGGTTGATTTTAGTTAAGCTAATTAAAAATCCTATAGGATTAAGATTTAAGGTCCATTTGATTTACAGTTTTGAATTGGAATCAAAATCAAACTCTATGTATATGTTTTGGCATTGATGCTGCAGTTATAGCACCGTTTTCTCATAAAACGGTGCTGCTGATGTGTGGTTTGGAGCACTTTTTTGTTTGGAATCGTTGTTGTCAGGTAGGACGTTTCCTAGAGCAACAACAACTTTTTCTGTTTGGTACCAATGTTCCAGGAAATGTTTTCTGCACTTCTACCCATTATCCACTACCACATCATTGCCCTTTTGGCAGCAACGAGCTGCAACTCCATAAACGCCAAATTTGGCATTGCTCCAAGCCATGCCTTCCCGATTTCTAAGGCGTGGCTTGGAGCACCGTTTTCTATAAAAAAACGATTCCAAACAGAAGACTGTTTCCTGGAGCACCATTTTTTCCTACATGACGCTGATGTGGCACCGTTTCTGGAGCAACAGCAACGGTTCTAAACATATGCTATTAAAATCAGAATCCGAATGATCTATTCCTCCTGCCTATTTGGTTCAAATGGGAATCTGAATAGAATCAATTGGAATAGATTTTCCTTCCCAATGAAGAAGGAAGGATCCAACCAAGGGATCATATTGGTGTCCCACAGAGCACGCCATACAGGCACCCCACATGCACATCTCAACGTGCATTGAAAGCATCTCCCTTGTCATGAAAAATGTTTCCAATACATGGCTCCAGAGACCGGATCTGCTCCTCACACCTGGTGCCCCATAGGCGCCTCATACGCACATCCTATCATGCATTGGAAACATCTCCCGTACTTATTAGTTATTATCCACGGGAGATATTACTAGTGCACAGTGAATGTGCATGTAAGGCACCCATTTGTGAGGAGCAGAACCCATCACACGGCTGCAATGGGTTGTGGGGCAAACTCTGTGGGGTGCTAAAATTCTTTAACCAAATAGTTAAACTGATTCTAGACCCCTATTCCCACGAACCAAACAACAACTTTCAAACAACCCTGTTTAATATTTGATTTTTGGCTCCAAAATTCAATCTCTTTTTTTTTTTGTTTTTTGAAAGGGCATCCAAGTCAATCTCTTTCATTAATTTCTTATTCTCATAACATATGTATGAGTATGACTTTGAATAAACTAATCAACAATAATAAATCAAGTGGTATTAGTTAATGATCCTTTCACATAGACATGCTGAGTGACACACATTAACAGAAAAAACAATACGGTGGCCCACAAGTTGGCTAGACACGCTTCTCTCTATGGACCAGCGAGACCTTTTACTTCATTTATTTCATTAATGATTTGCTTCAAGGCATCAAAACATAAATATTTTCTGTACTAGTATAATAGTATTTGTTTCTTTTTAGAGATCCCGCTGCCACCGGGGGTTGGGGGGTTAAGGGAAAGGGGATGGGTTACCCCTGTTGTGTAGCCTCATGAAGCTAAAAAGGGGACGAGGGGTAAGAGAAAGAATCATTGTAAATAAAGTCAATGGAGATTTTATACAATGTTTCTTTTTTAGGCCCTATTCGCTTTTTATGAAGTTACTTATCTGGGTAAATGCATTTATCTGAAAACAAAGTATATTGGTGGGGTCTTCCCCCCCAAACTTTTTGTTAAAACCACCATTTATATAGTTATTAAGTGAAGGCAGGGTAAAAAATGTAATAAAGTGAGTTCTTGCTCCTAGCTCCACCACTGTACCTAGTTAACTACATTTATCCATATTCTTTTGTTTCCCATGTAAATAAGACAATTACCATTTTAGTCATAAAAAATCATTAAAAAGGACAATTTTGTTCCATCCAAGTATCTTCAACTTTTCTCCCAAGTGAAAAAGTTATTTATCCACCTGGGAGATGGGCATCACTTTCCTAGGTAAGTGATACTGAACCCCACACAAATCTGAAAAGATAGCATGGGTATCTTAGTGAGTGGGAACCCAAATCCCATTAAAGTGGTAACTTCACACTCGAACCCTCGCATTGTCACACTTGTAAGCCCGAAATTCTAACATTCGACCATGCACTAGACTCGACTTAACTTGAAAAAACCAAGTTGATCCAACACTAATTATAGAGGGTCTAGGTCTACATCTTGAGTCCCTGTGATTGTAATGGGGTAAGGAAAATTTGAAATTTTCAAGCGATTGCAAACAATAGAGGTGTTTTAATAAAATGCAAACTATAGGATAGGTTTTAGTAAAAATGTGAAACTAGTCTACCTATGTTTTTAATGATTTACATTTTAATGTATCTAAGTTACACGTTTTAAACAGGATATATAAAGATACTATGAGAAAGAGAAGCCCTAATTTTGTTTCTCTCCTCTAAAATCTTACTGTTTTGAATTGTTTGGCATGGAGAGAGTGATATTTGTTAAGAATTTATCATTTTTATATACAAAATTATTATCAAACAAGTAACTTTATTGTCAAATTATCAAGCTAGAAACCTTTT